ATATATATATATATATATATATATATATATATATATATGTATAATAGTTCTACTATTTTCACACAGTTGCATTAAAAGTCAAACATTTAAATATTTGAATTCCATTGAATTAGAAAGACAATAAGAACCAAGTAGCATCTACAAACAAATGATGCTAGAGCTTCTCTCAGAATGAACTTTTGACTTTTAATCAACTGGAAGGTCATTGTAGTTCATCACATTAATTGTGGACAAATGAGTGTCCAAATAATTTTTGTCTTCATTTTGAACAATATAGCCTACAGTATCTAATGATAATTTCATTATTCTTTTTGCGAAATGCTAGATGTGATGTTAAATGTCTTTAATGCAAATAGACATTTTTAGTTTTTGAGTCACTGTATTCTCGTAAGTTAATCAAGATGCTATCATGCATTATTTGATAACGTTACGTTAGCTCATGTCCTTTTATAATGTTAATTATTGAGATAGATAGCCAGATCTTTATTTCACACCTCTACAGACTTGAGCAGAAAGCCCATGCTTTCATCTTTGTCTATGCAAAACATTGTCTTATAAAAGGTATATATTGTTAAATTAATTTGCTCAACAACGGTAGTAGTGAGGTAAACAATTTTATTGAAATCAAAATTCCAGAAGTTTCTTTAACAACATTTGAATATAAACTGTAAGCATCCACACTGTAAATCATCTTAAAAGCTAAATAAAACAACAAGTAGACAAACAAAAAATTATTAACTGTCAAACAAAAAATTAAGTGCCACATTAGTCCATCCTAGATCAGAACAACACACAGTTGTAATTTGCCCCAAATTTGGCATATTAAAAATGAGGCTTCAATAATATGAGGCACAGTTCACACTGTAAATCAACAAGAACTATTGAACTTAAAACTGACATTTTTATTCATTTCAAAGCTGATTATATTTAACAGTGCCTACACTCATTTCATGTGCTCTTTGACAGTCTAATATAATTTATTTAGAAGCTGTTTATTTAAGCCTACTGTACTGTGGTTAATGTTGTGCATGTAAAGCAGAGCGAGGTATTCAACAGTCAGACGTCATCTTCTCAGTCAGAGCTGATTGGCAAGTGCTGGGTGGGTCGAACACCCCAGGGTCACTAATGCCCACCTGAAGGTCAAAGAAGCGAGTGGACGTGGTCACGCTACTGTTTTTGGTGTATGTCTCCTGCACGGGATAGCAGTCCTTCAGAGTATACACACCAACCCAAGCTTCATCTGTGAAAGACAGAAAAAATGTGCAAAGTTCAGACCATGCAAATCAGGACAACATGGTATAAACATACTTATAATAAACATACTTTTGCGAGCTGGTTTCCGATCAGACCATTCTTGGACCTCGATCATGTCTCCAGGTCCTCCAATGAAGTACTGGTCCTCGTATGTGGAGTTCAGGGGAATATCATAAGGGTCCCAGGCCTCCGTCAGAGCGATCTTTGCACACTGCTTAGTAATTTCCTCAATTTGGAAAAGCACTCCACTCTTGAACAAGTAGATGTACTCAAAGAACCTCAAAGACAATTGCACAATGCAAATACCTTTAATACAAGCAAATTTTAGCTATTTAAAAATGTTTTTTATATTGATGTAGCTGTGTGTGTTAATTCTAATTTTGACAATAACACAATGGTAAACAACAGTTCAAGCAGTCATTATATTTTGCAGGGACCAAAATAAACTTAAATTTACTACTACTACTAATAATAAATAATAATAATAAATAATTAGCTAATTACTTGAGAAATAATTACTGACATTTTTTCGGAATCAAATCTGAATGATTTTATGCTTAAAAACAAGACAAAATATCTGCGGGGTATGAAAAATAAACTTGTTGCCTCTTTTAATAAAGTTTATATTTTTTCTTATCACATTGGCAGTTTTTTTTAAAGTCAATTAATCTTGAGAAAACGAGACTTTATATACCTTATGTCATTTTTCTTGTAAAGTATATATATATATATATATATATATATATATATATATTACCTAGACATTTTTAACCTAAATTATTACCTAAATTTGGTGTTGTTGTTGAATGACTAATATTACAATTATAAATGAATCTTGTTGTTGATTATGATGATAATAGTTAATTTTGATATATTTTTCAGAAAATAAGACTTTCTATATTGTCGTTTTTCTTCTCAACTACATTTGTATCGATTTAAGAATGCTTTAGATAAAAAACAAGACAAAAACATTGCTGAAGTGATAAGAACGCATATTAAAATCTATTTCATAGCATTTGATGAATTCGTACTTCTTACATGGTGTGTGTCCTGTCTTCTGCTCCAGGACCCTAATTCGCTGATTCTGCGCATCATAGGAGACCGCTGCCAGTGTGTTTCGTCCCGTGCCGTGATCATACTCAACGGTGCGACCCTCCCACTCTAACGGCGCCAGACAGGGCTGCGGCGCCGCCGCTACTGACGGAGGAAAGCCCAGACAAGGCACCATCGCGGATAATGAGAGTACTAGTGCAAAAACAACAAAGCCTGACATGTCTGTCTGTGTAAAGCTATAATTACATAATATTTAAATATTCACATAAATATTCAAGGGGCTGTGAGTGAAGAAGAGGATTTTCCAGAAAGTGTCTGCGCCGGTCCCTGATCCAAAATAACTACAACAGCACCCATGTCACAAACACGTCGGAAACACTGATTGGTCAGATATATCCAATCGCATGACAAACCTATGTAATTATTTTTCACTAGCTGAAAAAATTTTAAGATGGCTTTTTATTACTAACATGTATTCATAATAATATTATATAATTTATTAATAATTAAAATATTAAAGCGTATTATTTGTTTTAAATTTAATTGTTTTTGAATCATAAAAATTTCACCATAATAATACTGAGAATTTTAAATTATCAGTATAATAATAATAATAATAATAATAATAAATGTATTATGAATGTACTGTATCATTATTAATGTATAGTATTAATGTATACTATTTGCATATTTAATGCATTATTTACATTTTTGTTGTAAGGAACCATAAGAATTTACCATAATAATGCCACACAGTCAGTATAAATAATAGTTTATATGGCGGTAACTACAACAACAGCATATTTTATTTAGTTTACTTTTTTGTTCTTAATCTAGAAAATTAAGAACAATAACAACTTATCTCTGTGCACTGAAAGAATGAGTTACCTACAAATCGGACAACACAGACATCTTTGTATAGTCAGTATCAGGCGTATGTGCTGTTATTATTATAAACTATCTATTGCTGCCAATGCTTTTGACTTTAGTCTGCCTGTCTTTAATGTGAGTTTACTGTTGTTGTCGTTTTAATATGGCGAGTCACGTCCAACGTGTGTACTAAAATCTGGTTGAATCCGTTTAAAGAGACTGACAAAATGTCTGAATTGACAGAGACTCAGATTGAATCCAGTGATGATGAACTCCCAGAGGAGGTCGCCTTTGATGCATCCAAAAGTGCTGCTCTGAAGAGTGTTAAAGACGCAATGGAAGCAGCCAAAAGGTCTGTGAGTGAGTCCAGTGGCTTCAGACAGAGCACATGAGTGTATGCGGGGCAAACTTTTTTGTTTTTCACTTTGTTTTCAGAGAAAAGATCCTACTGAAGGAGAAGCGAAAAAAGAGACAACAGCTGTTTCAAGAACAAAAGGTACTGTCCTCAGGATGTCTACTACATTATTATTGCCAAGAAAAGCTTATACACTCTAAACGTAATTCACAGTAAATTGTGTATTTAACATGTCAAAATCTCATGAAATGTTATATCTGTTGTTTTTCAGAAGAGAAAACGTCTTCCTAAAGAGCTCTTAGAGGAATTTGATAAAGAACCCCAAAAGTAAGATCTCCAGCTAAATGGAAACCATTTATTATGTTTACATTTATCTTACTGAAAGGGTTCCACATGTACATATGGAAAATGTGTCTGATTTCAGTTTACCGGACAGCTACAAAGTAACGAGGATAAAGGATGAATCTGCGGCAAAATCATTGCAACAAAAGGCCATGGATTTCATTCAGTCCCGTCTTTATGGACCAGGAACCAAAAGAACAACCAGTAAGTTAATGCGTTGTGCTGTTCAGATCTTTCTTTTTACCAGATCTTGTAGACCAGTTGAATATTCAAAATACCTGTGTATATTTATCTTCAGATGCAGAGCTTCTATCCCTCAAAAAGAAACGGGGTGCGAGCAAAGGTGCAGCTGTGGAGTTTGTGAATAAAAAATTGGGTGAGTAGTGAGATTTTCATGTTTAGCAAGTACATTGTGTCCTCGATGTGTTTTGTAAAGCAACAGGCTGAGCTGTCTTTATTCATTTATAGGTGCTTCCCAAAAAGCCAGGATTGCAAGGTCCAACAAACGGTTTATACGCCAACAGAAACTGATTCCTTTATGAGATAAAACAGGAGAAAGAACTGCTGAATTATGAGAGTTCAACACATGAAAACTGTCACACCTGGAGGCGGCTTCCATCATCCTGCTGTTTTTGACCATGTGGATCATATTTTTCAAAAGGACGCCTTTAATTATTTTGTGCATTTTTCTTTAAACCTCATATAGTTAAAAAATATTAAACCTTATTATCAAATAAGATAGTAATTTAAAAAGAAGTGACTTAGCTTATATCTTGTGTACAAATTAAACTTAAATCGGAACATTTTTAATAGTGGCAGAAGCTGAATGTAAATTTAAGTGTGCATATTTACTCTACACGTCAATAAATGTAAACCTGATCTAAAGATGAACAATTAATGTGTCAGTTACTTTGTACATAAGATTAACTTCATTAAACTAAATGACTACGATGGCCAAGTTATGGTTACAGCATTTTACAAGGAAGCTAAAAGGAAAGTTCACCCAAAAATAAAAATTTCTGTCATTTACTCATGTTGTTCCCAACCCACAAGTCTTTGCTTAATCTTCAAAACACAAATTAAGATATTTTAAATAAAACCTGAGAGGTTTCTGTCCGTCCATTAAAAGTATAGGTAACCACAACTTATAAGATCCAAAAAGATTAAGGCATCATAAAACGATTTAATATGAATCAAGCAGTTTAGTCTTGTAAAGAAGAGATATATTTAATTCAGGCTTTAATTCACAAATGTACAGACAAACAAGCTTCCATGTTTGCTATATGTATGATGTGTTAATCATCATTTAGATGTAAATAAAAGCCTAAATTAAATATGGTTATTTAGACTGCAATCAAGGTAAAGACGATTGCAGTAGCGTACAGGAGTCGTACAGTACAGTAAGCACGCGTGAGTCCGTTATAATAATGCGTGTATGAGTGCTCTGACGCACTGATCACACATTGCATTTATGCACAGGCACAGACATTTCCGTACGTTCATGATAATGTTTTGATTTGTCATGTTTATGTTGCTGTGTTTAGTTATACTGAATGGATCCGTGTACTGTAGTAGATATATGCAGTCAGCAGGCGATTGGTTTAGTTTTTTTTTTGGCATCTCCATGTGGTCCTGTTCGGTATCGCAACTTGGCTTCTCTAAAATGTAAAAA